ACCCCCCCCCCCCCCCAATGTTGCATTAAGACTAATTTTTTGGTTTATTGTTTTTTTTTTTCAATCTCAACCTTGTAATATAACTGATGTTTCTACCGTGTTTAGATAAAGTGTATGTGTATGTGTGTGTGTTTCTTTCAGGCAGAGCACATGACTTCAGAGGGGGTACTGGTGAGAGTGGTTGACTGAGGATGAAAAAGGTCACTAATTTTTAAAGTGACCTCTAGCTACTTGTGACAGTTTGCTGTGATTTCTAGTATTGGAAAGTCCAAGAATACTATCCACAGCTGTTTCCCTGAACAACTTGTAGTTTATTGCACTATTCTTTTTCTGTTCTTAACGTATCACAGTATGGACCTTGCAACATTGAAGATTTGGAACCTGGCAAGACCATGAAGTGGTGTACTTGTGGGCTGAGTAAAACCCAGCCATGGTGTGATGGTGAGTTCAACCATATTTGATCAAACAATTTCAAATAAAACAAAGGCCGACTCTCTCTCCTCTTCAAAGGCCTCTATTGTGTTGCATTGACTGTGTAGGCTGGTAGTTCTGAGGCTGGGGAGAGGGAATAACGGAAGTGCTCAGAGTGCACTTCCCATCGTCCCCCATGTGCCTTCCAACTCCCATTTCACCTCCCTTTCCCCTAGGGAGCATCTGCTTAGGGGAGAGAGTCTGATTGGTGTCTAGTCTGACTGGGTGAACAATTCACTGATGGGCAGGTAGGTAAGCAGACTGAATGACTAAATAACCAACTTACCAAGCAACTATTAAACCTGTGATTATACCCTCCATCCCTTTATTCAAGCCTTTCTCTGTTCCTTCTCTTTAAAAAGGAAAAGAAAAAGAAATGTGCCTGATGGCAGGTTACTGACTGACTGACCGACCAACTGACTCACTGACTGCACAGAAAAGAATTGAATGGAAATTTGAGACAAACAGATGGATGAATATCAGTGTTGTATTTATAGGAGCTCACAAGAAAACTGGTTTCAAGTCTTTGAAATGGAAGGTTCCTGACCATCCCCAAAGAATCTACTCAATTTGCTGCTGTAAACACACCAAGAATCCACCCTTCTGTGATGCAACCCATGTCAGCCTTCCAGCTCTGGTAACAGAAAGGCAAAAGAACTGCAGAGGTGCTCACAAGAATGACATGAAATTATGCACCAGCTGTGGGTGGGTTCCCAAATGGTAGTTAACTAAAATTCGTCAGCAATGCAGCTCAAATTTGAATTTTCATACAATCTAATTGCATAGGCCACTTTTTATATTCATCAATGCCATTGCCACACTTTCTTTGAACCATTTTGTAAGAAAGAAACATCACAAGTTTGATTGTCACTTTAATAAGCACATACAGTATATCAAAAAAACATAAACAGCAGTAGCAGTGGCAAAAGTATAGTAGTCATCAGTAGCTTGTAACAGGTTTTTATCTATCATGAAATAGCAGTAAAGCGTAAAGCAAAATAATCTTTCAAAATTGGAGGTTCCCCTCAAACTTAATTGTTTTTTATCAATTACAATAAATTATTGATGGTGTAAAAAAAAAATTTTGGTATTTACATAGTTCAACACAAAAAGAAGTGTTTAAAGATCACAACTTTACCCAGAGCTTTTAGAGATAATTTCTAACAAATTTCTTATAATTCTAAAGTTTAATATAAGAAAGGATTTACCGGTAAGGGGAGGCAATATCAAGATAAATTATTCCTTCCAGTTTATAATAGCATTATGCCATTATAAAAAGGGGAAAAAGCATTAAAATTCTTAATGTCACAGTCATGACACATGATGTGATACCTGCCACTAGGTTCAGTTTTTCCAATATACCATTCATGTGATACATGTAATACATGTACAATAAGACTATCATAATGGAGACTAGTTAGTATAGGAGATTTGTACATGTATGTTGAAATAACTGATCATGACTAATAAAAAGGTGTGAAACAAAAGAGTGAAACACTAAAAATGTTAATGATTTTTTTTTAATAATTAACTCAACAGAAGCAGAAAATATTTAAATATACAATGTACATCAAGTGACCAATGTTACTTTCATGCAGTATCAATATTGATGCTGTTCATGTTTTCTCAGTGAAGTTCCTGGGTTTCTTATTTACTGGTTCATCACTTTGATTTTCATTGGCTGTCACTGTACTCTCAAAGTGTTCCTTTAATGCCTTCAGAGCTTTACCCCTGTGTGAAATGGAATTTTTGATTTCTGATGGCATCTCTGCATACCTGGAGAGAATGCAGAAACTAGAAGGTCAGGGTGATGTGTACACACGTTTACTAATAAAAATACAGCACAAGAACTAAAAAATATCCCATGATACAGATTTTTTCTTTGACTCATTGCATGATACACGTCTAAAAGCTACAATAACATGTACATGGACATGTCTCTCCATGTACCTAGAGTGTTCGTTTGACTTGCATGTATTGTTACTAATTACTGAACACCAAGCACAGCTAACGTGAAGGCAAGTTTGGAATACATGTACATGTATGTTTATTAATGCATATACATGTATATCCCGCCTATAAAATAATTATTAGACTGCTGGGAGCCATACATGTGTCCTTCTAGTGTTAACTGCTGGCAGTCTGTTTTTCTCTTGAAATCAGGCAGGGATTCTGTGGTAAGATGTTTCAGACTAGTGTTTTTTCCGTTTTGCCTCAATCCCTTTTGCCCATACCGCCCTTTCATATTTGTCTTCACAAACAAGCAGCCATCTGAACCTAAGAGAAAAGACCGGCTACCAGCTGTCTACTTCTAGTCTGAAACATCTCATCTCAAAATCCTTGCCTCATTTCAAGAGAAAAACAGACTGCCCACGTGTAGTAAAATANCATGTACATGTATGTTTATTAATGCATATACATGTATATCCCGCCTATAAAATAATTATTAGACTGCTGGCAGCCATACATTTGTCCTTCTAGTGTTAACTGCTGGCAGTCTGTTTTTCTCTTGAAATCAGGCAGGGATTCTGCAGCAAGATGTTTCAGACTAGTTTTTTTTCTCGTTTTGCCTCAACCCCTTTTGCCCATACTGCCCTTTCATATTTGTCTTCACAAACAAGCAACCATCTGAACCTAAGAGAAAAGACCGGCTACCAACTGTCTACTTCTAGTCTGAAACATCTCATCTCAAAATCCTTGCCTCATTTCAAGAGAAAAACAGACTGCCCACGTGTAGTAAAATATTGCACTTTTACATTTTACCAACTGAAACTGTTTAATATGTTATTTTACAACTACCGGTATTTATTTTTATCAACAAAGCTACCTACATTTTGAAAATGTAGCTTTGTCACACATCATACATTGTATCTGGGGAAAAGCCTTAGAATGTACACATACTGTAAAAACTCAGTAAAAATGATTAACAGTACTTAACTTAAAAATAGTTTCTACAGAATGTCATTGTACAATGTGACTCACGTCTGTTCAAAGCCATCTGGTTGAAAACATGGATCCCATCCAAAATTCCTTGGACCTCTGGGTTCAACTATTTTGCCCTTTGAAAGTAACAAGAAAAGTATGACTTTATATAATGAGTTTTTTTTATTTTGAGTATTGCATTTACTAATATGCAAACCAGCTCAGTGGCAAGGCAGGACCCCTGAACCCAACAAAACGGCTAACCACAAGCTAACTAAGCTACCTTGGGCTCACCAGACTGCTATTCACTTATTTAGACTAAATGGAGTGCTAGTTACAATGTAGGCTTATAGGAGCATTATACATGTATAGGCTAAACCGCAAGGGAGCCATGCAAGCCTTGCAACCCAGTACAGCTACACATCTGGATCTAAGGCTAACAACCCCTTTTGGGGGGGGGGGGGGGGGGGGGAAGGGCTTATAGGCGACAGTTTACGGGGTTTATTAACAATAGGTTTAGAGACAGACAAAAATTACTTTACGAGATTATCTGAATACTAACTAGTAGCTCTGATTTTCAAAGAATTCCAGCANGGGGGGGAGGGCTATTTAGGCTAACTAGACTGTTACTTAGCCTAACCAGAATAGCTGGCATTTTGACTCACTTGACTCTTGACTTGCACTTTGTGCAGATCTTTGATTTTCATGAAACCACACTTCTGAGTGCTGTCTGAAACTAAGCATTGCTGGTCACATCTTGGCAGATTTTGTATTGTACATGTTTACACATTGACTTTGTGTCATATATGAAGTTTTACATGACATCCAAAACATGGATATATGACCAAACTGACCAACAAGGCTTACTTGACTAACTGTAATATCTAATTTGTGTAGTTACAGGTAAGTTTGTGTGATTGCTATACAAGTCTCAAATCTGGTTTAAATGACAAAAAATAAACACAAAGTTACTTTTCATTTGGAGTAAATACCATTGTTTTTCCTCTAAAAAGCATGACAGGGTCCTCAAGTTTTCCTGTTGAATATGCAAAGGTACAAAGTGCATATGCTGACTTATCTTCCCATCCTGTTAAAAGTCTGTATAGACCTAATAAAAGATTAACAATAATATAAATAATTATATCCTGAGATACACTGGTAGTGCATTCTCAAATTTACTACGAAATAAATGAAAATAAATTACAATACTAGAAACAATGCCACATCAGCCTTAGGTATTTTATACGGGTCCCCTATCCTAGTCAAATTGGATTTTGGAGTAATGGTTCTTGTGTAGGGAGGAAAACAGAGTACCAGGAGAAAGCCCTTAGAGCAATAATAATAATAATAATAATAATAATAATAATAATAATAATAATAATAATAATAATAATAACCTTTAATTAGGAGGCTTTCTCACAATATGTGGAGGCATGGTGGCCTCCTAGTTAGTGTGCTCACCTCCTATCTCCAACCACATGCCCACTTCCATTCCCCATAAAAAAAGACTTACATGGCTAAGACATAACACTACAGGTGTATAAGATAATGTCTTCAATCATTCAGGATGTTATATGTAAACAAGAAAGCATCACCGAGTAAACCATTCAGAAATCTGCAATTTCAGTACATGTATCTACACTACTCATACATACATACATACACGCATAGATACATTTATTTGATAAGTAGGTTTAAAATAAGCAACTGTACAGCTGATGTGGACCTACAACTACTAAGTCTAAATAAGAGAAACAGAAATTTACAATACAATTGTCATAAAGCGAAAATACTATACAATAACGATAAGAGGAGTAATCAAATAATTTAAAAATACCTAAATTCAGGGTTCTTATAATTATAATTTACAGAGCATTCCTTTTGGAAACTGAGGTCTCTGACATAGGTCTTGATCGATTTTATCTTTCTTTTAAAAGAGAGAGGGTTTTCAAACTGTTTGAGTGTCAGGTAAAGAGTTCCAGGCAATTGCAGCTCTGTGTTCAAATGAACAACAACCCTGTTCGGTTCTTGGCCAAGATACAGCAACATTTAAACCTCAGAACTTTGTGTTATGCTACCTGTACGTTTATTTATACTTTTGTTTCTTAGTTTATTAGTGCCCTGCAAAAAGCAAATACCGTGTGCTCACCTTCTGGTCCTAACTTCTTCAAGAACCACTTTCTAAAAATGATGCGGAAAAAAATTATAACATTTGCTGTTAGTAATACTACATTTAAAGTTCCAGCAGATTTATTTATATTTCCAGATTTATCAGTTATCATGGGCCACCAGAAGACTGACAGAACCCATGGGTGGGACTTGTCTCAACAACCAGGTAGATATGTAGAGATATCGGAGAGTTTTTAAAGTAATTGAGAAAAAACTTACACATGTAGCAAGAGAGATCACCTTGTTAGTATCACATGTGACAGGAAGTGGTGCTTTCTTGAAACTACTGGTACTTGCACATAAAAACATGTACATGCATTCTATTTTGAAGTACATGAAAATGTACAAGGCTTATCATCAGCAACCCTACATTTTGTTGTCTGAAAGCATTGTTTTTAGTATTGAGAGGTTTTTGTCCTCTTTAAACAGTCACTGCTCTATGATTTTAAATTTACATGTATCCTTGGACTGCTAGGAATACTAATTATTACTCTTAAGATAAAAATTTCAAAATAATGCTCACATATAAGGTCCTGGAAGATCTCCTAGGGCAGAGAAACACAAGCATGTGTCTTCAACTATCACTGGACCTCCAATCTAATTACACACACAAATCAAGAAAAGAAAGTGCAACAATAAAACAACATGCATCAAAGTTCTGGTTGAAGTTATTTTTGTAACATGTAAAAGAGATGAAGTCAAGGTTTATTCATCTTGGAAACATTGACCTAAATTCTTCAAGTTTTCACTGAGGAGGGAAATTGTGTGTCTGGATTGGGTGTGGGGGTAACCATTAAATGATCTTCTGTAAATCTTCCATGGCTTTTTTGCCCTTATCTACATAGTGCAACATCTACTTAAAGTAATATCATCAAGTAATATTAATACAAATAATATTATTCATGTGCAAAACCTGAATAAATGAAGACTAAACATTAGTTGTGATTCAGTGCAATGAGTTTTTAAAAACCAAACCTCTCTAACAGCAACTTTGCACTTCTCCTCAGAGATTTTATCAGGTTCACCTTGAAATTCAGGTACTACACAGAGATGAAGGGCAATATTTGTGATTGGCTGTATTCAAATTATTTAAAATTAATGTAACAAGTTACTCTTGGGGGGGGGGGGGGGGGGGGNAAAAAAAGGCAAGAAGGTTCTGGATGAGAGGGCAAGGCAGGGAGCAGGATTGTTGACAAGGCAGGAAATGGGAGATAAATAAATTAAAAATAATAAAAATGAAAATAATGGTGCATTGGGCTAAGGACTGAGCAGCTCAGGTTCAAGCACTAGACAGGTTTATTATGGTGTGTTCTTAGGGAAGAGCGCTTCTCTTCACCTTAGAGGATATTAACTCCTGAAAAAATGCCAGTTATAGGGGTGGGGGACTTGCAATGGACTAGAATCCAGGATCCAGATCCAGGCAGAGTATCAAATACAACTAGTTGCTTCTTTTCTCTGTTTGTTTGTTTGTTTGTTTTTTGTTCTGTTTTTGTTTGTTGTTGTTGTTGTTGTTGTTGTTGTTTTTGTCTAGCTGATCCTTGCTACAGAAAAAGGGATAATCTCTAGCACTCTGAACCAGTTTTTCCAGAAAAGGTAGAAAATACTGAAAGAATGAGAACTGTAAATTTGTGGACCCAGGTCGTGATGCCTCTCTCTCCCCTCTCATTCATAACAACATAGAATGCACCTGACCAGCCAATCGAGTGTTATGTCTGGCGATTTGATCGCATGATTAATAATTACAGTCTATATTTTAAAATATTTACACCTTAAAGCCTGAATGGCTCTCTCGAAGTTATCGTACTTACAATCTATATTCCTGGATTCCACTTTCCAGGGAAATGTGTCTCCTAATATCGCAACAACCTTCAAAACGATCGGAGAAGGTTAGGACTTGTACACATGATCGCGTATATTACTATGCTATAAAGCTTAAGACATTCGAATTTGCACCTACACATATTTCAATACTTTACAACTCTCAGCACAAGTTATGAACCGTACCTCCTTTGCTTGCTCATACCCCGGCCATGTTTTACCGCCGTATGACCATGTAGTTTTTCACACTACATATTCAAAATGCCGGGGGGGGGGGGGCACTGTCATATATGTGCTACATAGGTATGTGCTGCTATGAAGGGTATGGTTTTCAAGCAGTTTACTTTGGGATAGGGTATATAAATCAGAGCATTTGGGTCTAGTATAGGGTATCATTTTTAGCGAAACTGACCAGTTGGTTGAAGATTTCATTTAGACTAAGGAAACCAGGAATTGCCACTCAAAAATATAAAAAAGTGAAATCAGTTAGTTTAAATTTACGCAAATAAGCCTCCACAGTGTCGATAGATGGAGGGATTTGGGGAGTTTACTCTAGTATAGGGTAGCAGAATTCAGCTGAACTAGCTCTGGTTTAGGCTAAGGGTTCCAGGGTCCCAGCGGCACATCCCTACCCAGAAATTCCCAAAGTACCCCGCCCCCCCGCCCGGGTCAAAATGGCGGTTCCGGACGATCGAATCAGGGTAAGATGGTACAGTTTACAATCCTGTTTACGGCCCACTTTTAGTATAAACCCCAACTCTAATGGAATTTGACAATACCTAAATTTTCAAGGGATTCGAGCAGCTGAAGTTTAGCCCTCTACACAGATGTGGATATTGAAATGGACGATATGCATACTTCGTTGTTTAATCAACTTTAATAGGTCGGGGAAATGGACTGATCTGAATGAGCGGACCAGCTACTCTTTCTTGACGTACTTACTTCTTTGAGCTTGTTGTGATTCCCCGTCACAAATGCTAACGTATTTCTCGACATTTTGTTCTGATCTCCCTTCGCGATCTTCTTTCACTCTCCCACAGTCACTAAATTGCGGGCGCGAAACTGAAACAATTAAACTCGTCGCCAGGCCTTTTCGAGCGTGACAATGGAAACGAGACAAATGACTTCTTTGTTACGTGCTAAAACGTTCGTACTTTCCAGGTTTATTTGCTTTTCGATCGGCGCTGCAAAGCGTTACTGCTGACCGCGCAGGGGTACGGGATAAGTCACTACCAAAACTATAGTAAAAAAAAAACATCACCCCGGCAAAACATGAACCACGCTTGGCCTAAGGCCGCGCAGTTGATAATCGTTTATACCTTCGTTTGTCTGTGATAATGGTCGGTTTGTGGGAAAGAAACAACGTTATACATTTTAATGATGCCTTTTACGATTCACATAGAAATAAAGAGTTTTTGCCGCGGAATTGGATGAAATTAGAGTACCTGGCTGTTGACTGGAAACAGATACTTAAATAAGATAAAAATAAATTACAATATTCCGCGTGTTTTCTAGATTGTGCCAATACCCGTATGATAAAACGGATAATAAGCTCCTACTACAGGCATAGACATGCTGCTCTTTGATTGCTGGGTGTAGAGTTTAACGAGTCTAGCTCGAGTATAGGCTGCAGAGAAGATAAATGTTCCATCCTTTTGATAATTCATTTAAAACAGTTAACCGCTGAGGCTTTGGAAGCTGATGTGTCGAGCGATAGCCCTTCGTGAAAGTAAGGGCCCGGGGAGCAACTCCCATATGAAAAGGTCTAGGATGATTGTCGTCTCGCTTAGGGATAGAAATCAAGTATTCTGGTCTCACTTAGGGTGTTGATGACGAAACGCCGCTATTTTTAGCTGTCAAAGTATCTTTTAGGGTGCACTCGAAGAAATACTATTAATTAATTAAAACGCTCTTCTTTCAGTTTCTGGGCTCGTTTTCTGCCATTCTCTCAAGTCCGGTCTACTAGCGCGGGCTCCTTTCCTGAACAGCGGCTGGTAATCGAGCCTATAGAGGTCAAATATAGCTCACGCCCGGATTTGTGTCCTTTAGGGGTTTAATTCAAATTTTCCGACGAGCATCCTTCTTCCTTTTCATATGGGAGTCGCCCCACCGAGATTAAAGGGTTGGTATCTCTCTGCGCAGCGCTAAAGATCTCCCTCCATTTGTGCGCTAGTTTTGACACAGTCCTAAAGTAACCAACACGCAGAACCACAGTATTGTAGAAGCCACCGAAGTAGACGATCTACTGCAAGGATCATCCAGATGTGTGTTGCACAAGTCGCTGTCGCAACACAATTTGCAGTGAGTAGTTTTCTGGTATCGGCCAAGTGTCCACTTCCTGGAGGGTTTGTTGCAATCCCTGTCACAGCCTCTCACAACTTGTGCTGTTGTTCCATTAGGGAAGACCCTCCTATAGAGCGAGCACTGGTTGAACCAACGGGAGCACGTTCGTTGCCTTGTTCCCTGCAAAGTGTCCGTACCACAAGGCCCTTCCCTGGTGTCACAAAAGTGACACTTGATAAGACCTACGAGAGAGTGAATTTGAAAGGTTAACTGGTGGTCCATTCAGTCTTTTATCGACTGTTTATCCTTATTAAGAGGATCAGAGAGGCCTGATGGCTTAATGGGACAAGAGCTTGCATGAGATTTCAGGTTTCTGTTGTTTGCCCGCCTCAAATGACATGCTGTTCCATCTGATTGCTGATAATCCAAGTATTTGTTGGTTGCCCTGGCAGTTCTTTGATAGCCTTTCACGGAGGCACTGTAACAATACAGTATCCTCCCTCAAGAACACATGCAACAACCAGTCAACCCGATCAGCTCTCTCGAAAGAGATCGTTGCAACCGCGCCGTGACTCTCAGTTGAATTTGAACATTGAACAATGATGACATCCCAAGAATTAAAATACAAAATTTGTTGCGCGTATGTTGCCGCCATGGAGTGAGTCATTGGGCGGTGGAGCGTGACCCAGATATTAATTAGGGAGCTTTAGATTGAACTACGAGAATGAGATTGAGTACGAGTACGATTTTCGAATTTCGAACCAGTGACATTTCCCAAGCCCCTGCCCTTCATGTTGGTTTTAGGTAGA